GGTCGGTTTTACCGTATTCGTTTACCAAAATCTCCGCATAATATACGGACAGTTTTCTGTGCCAAAGGCCGCTGTTGTATGGCCGAAACATTGACAGTTGTGTAATAAAAGTTTCATAACATCAGCTTGTCTTGCACCAAAACTACTGAATCAGGAACTTCGAAGATTTACCAATTTGTACCGCAGAACCAAAATAAATTTTCAAAAACTAAAATCTAAGTACAACGGACACATTCAAAAAATGAATTGTCTTAATAAACACCCTATTTCAAAAGCAATAAAACTTTAAATAATATTATACAAACTAACAATTCATAAGTAAGTCACAAAGGCACAAATCTAACGTGAGATGACATCCCAAGGCAAATACGAGAATGTTAGTGAAGCGACGTCGTAACCTACGCTGGATGCTATAAAAGTAGAATAATTTTAAAACAACTATCCTGAATTCAAGTAGCAGAAATATACGATGATGTTAACCATGTTACCTAAACAATAATCTAGCTAACTCCATACCTCACGGCTCGTATTTACCGTAGTCTGTTTACTTCAGTCAGCTTCTCTCATTACTTACATACATCTGTTAGAGAATTTCCTCCTGAAACGAAAAAATGCAACAAAATGCAAAAAATAAGGCTGTAATAATGCCAAGCTAAAACCGTACAAGTGCAAACATCGTCGTTTACAAGACATCAAAGTTCATTTATAAAATGAAGCAGTTCATCAACACGCTGGATTCAACAACTTATAAATAGGCAGAAAACCATAAATAGAAAATATTGAAAAAAAATACATGATATACAGACTATATAAACAATAAATGGTACATCTGAGGTCGTGAACCGCGATGTTTGCCTAACACAACTGAAACATCGATCGAATACCATATAAGTAAGTTAGAATCAGAATGAAGATAAGACTTCCAATTGTAGTTCGGAAAGAAGAAACGCGCAGCCAGCAGATATGACACACTGCGTGATAAAAAAAGTCAGACAAAAACGCAATCGTATCAACACGAAAACATGAGCCACTTGCACATTCGGCGAGTATATGAATTTCATAAAGCTATACTCGTACTGTAAAGTACTATGACTACATCACTACTACTCCAGTAAAATAAGAAAAGCGAGCGAAATTCGAAATATCAGCCATCTACTGCCGAAACATTAGTTAGAGCGGGGAATTCTGAAACAACCGTACAGCATGATCTACAGTCAATCAAATTCGCTTTTTTGGAAATTAGACAGAATAATATAACAACATGTGATTAACACAGTGTTGGAGTGTACAGTAAATGAAAGAGACCGAGACAGTGCTACTGCGGCAGCGATTGACGGATTGAGCTACAGTATTTTACATGGTACGCAGCAGAAACAATACACCAGCAGCCAATCAATTAGAACTGGTCATCAGCTAGGGACAACTGCGAAAGTCGTGACAACAACGACCACAATGAGAGTCAATGCGACCAGCTGAGAATGAGTACGGTATAGCGTATAACGTAGCGCTAGTCTCCGCCGAAAATATTCGTACCTAGCAGAGAAAAAGGTCGAGGAACAAAGGCGGACGATTCCGGACGATTAAAACAAGCCGCACTGCCGCAGATTGTCCTTGATGATGATATCAGTGACGGCATCGAACACGAAACGAATGTTGTTGGTGTCCGTGGCGCAGGTGAAGTGTGTATAAATCTCTTTCTGACCGCCCACCCTCTTGTTCAACGACTCAAACTTCATCTGGATGTACGCAGCGGCTTCTTCGTATGTATTCGAACCTAAACATCCGGCATTAACAACTGCAGTGATGTAAAAAACTGTTTATTAAGATGAACATATGACAGTCTAAGTTGGCGTGAGCGGTAATTTACAACCTCGAAAGAAAAAATTTTGTAAAGCAGGACCTGATAGAAAAGGGCTAAATCAAGTGATGGTAACTGTTCTTCTACCTTCAAGTCATTAACATCCGATGTATCAGGCAAATCATTACTATACAACGACACGAGTGGAATCCCTCTGGCCGATGAGAGATGCAATAGGTTCAGTCAAGCGTGAAAAATAATCCAACTTTCTGCCATGTTTTCGCATGTAAGCAGCTCCTTTACATTCACCGCTTATTCTAATCGCTTATTTTAAACTGTACGGTAGAGATAAGCTGGAACGTGAAATGTTTGCGGCAATCTTTGCATTCACCAATATCTACCAATACCGATGCACAGTAGAGTAAGTACAGCATTACTAAAAAGAATAGGACAGAATGAATTAAAATTTTCTTAACTTAATCATGGTACAAAAAGTTGGTTGATCATTAGACTTGAAAATTTAGAGCCCTGAAGACTTCTCGACATCGACATTAGATATTTGACACCAGAAGGAAAGAGATAAAGATGGTGGAGTAGAAAAAAAAGAATGAAAGTAAACGAAAACGACACAGATGAAGCCGAAAATCCAAGACGAAAAGTAAGGAGGATACAATAATGACGAAGTCATGGATTTTCGATGGCCAGTAATACTTTGGGATCGATCAAGCAGATGCGTCAGACAATGTCTCAAATATTCCTGAACCTGTCCGTGAGTCTGAACTTCGGCAAAACATAAACTGACTCTGGAGCAGAGTTTGTCAAGACACCTGCTCAGAACACTGTTGGCCGTCGCTGAGGTCTTCGACCGGTCAGGTGAGCAAGTAATAACTGTTTCGCCCTTACTTTCTGAAATCATTCGACGAAACAATTCAAGAATTAAATAATAGAATAAAAGGAACACGAATTAGCGGAAAAAGACCACAATGATTAAGAAAAATAAAAAGAAAAAACGTACAAGTAGAACGAGAACTAGAAAGCGAGTTAAAAGAAAAAAACAGAAAGGAATAAAACGAATAGCATAAGAAAGCCAAAAAGAATACCCAAAAACATTAAAAAAAGCATTCCTTAGCTCATGGTGGGAAGAAACTGCAACCGAGTATTCAACGTAACGAAAAGATGTGAACTGGCAATTTATCTGCTACCGTCCAGTTAGATAATCCTTCATAGCGGTATGGACAGAAACTGAATCCATACCGGTGTAGACTAAAACCGATTTACGGTGTAGTTTAAGAGTCCAGTACATAGGTAATATTCGATTATTACCAAGCCTCAGCACTGCTGTCTGAATGCTTAAGTTCACGCCATGAGTTTCATATAAACTGAGGCTCAGGAAGTAATGTGGTAAAAACTACACATTACTATTCTGCACTGGAAAGCAAGTTAGTTTCAGCCCATATCAGTATGGGTGGATTACGACTCTGGACGGTAACATCCACACCGTCCAATGCTTTGAAGATTTCCAGCAAAGGATAAAATGTTGCATCAGTTACAACATCAGTCGTTGCTTTTATGTGTAAGCATTTTGATTTAGACATTTCATATCTGAAAACATCTGGATTCTGACTAAAGTAAGTGCTTTAAAAAAATGCGGTCGACACGAGTGTTTCGGTTCATAAAGCTGGAGCTACAAACCAGTCGAAATATCATATCCCAATGCAAGGATAAATTAAAAATGCAATAAAGAATCTTCAACAACCCAAAAATGAGCGAATAAATCTTATTTTCCTCCAAACTTACCACTTTTCTCTTCAACTCTGATCCCCGCTCCATAAACTGGTTTGTACTGAAAAGCTAAGAGACGACGTATGTGATCTACAGATTAACGACAGAAATATCAGTTCTCTCAATCCAAGTTACTGCATCATCGATCCTTGTCATGACATTTTTATGATAATATTTTCAATAACTTTAACCTAAACCAGCAATTACAGTCACGATTTTTGTTAACTCTCAAAGGCTAACATCACACTAATCAAATCAATACCGTTCGAATACTTTACAGTCTGTTCCTCTCAACTGACGGAACACGAAAAACAATCGCTGAGCTTTACTTCACATCGTATACAGAGAAAAAGAAACCATATTGTTAATTTGGCACAGAAGGAAAATGCATTCATTGTTATTTTACATCGCCGTAGTAAACTTGCTGTGTATATACCAACGAAACGAACGCAACAACTTAAATTGAATGGCGTAAAATCCTTCCAAAATCAGACATCACGGCGCACCGAACTGCCTCCCCCCTGCTCCAAGAAGTTTAGAAGACCATTCAAAGCCAGGCTACGGCTACATCGTATTTCATAACCTGTGGTACCGAATGCTCTACGTATCGTTCTGTTCGCTAGAGACACCTGGTGCTCATTACAACGAAATTTCTAAAGCTGGTAATCCTTATATGCAACAAGATAAATATGAAAATATGTTCATACACCAGAGTCTGTCAAACAACGCACAACCTCTCATTGACCACGGCATAATGCACCGTCAAGATGCTTTTAATTGTCTGGGAGCATTTAATCGTAAACCAAATCCAAATAAAATCAAACAAAAACGGCTACCTGTGTAGTCAGGAAAGCAAATCGTAAGCGGCGATTTTCTTATTTTTTCCTCGAAAAGATCCTTTTTATTCAGGAATAAGATGATCGATGTGTCGGTGAACCATTTGTTGTTGCATATCGAATCGAACAGCTTCATGCTTTCCACCATCCTGTTCTAAAAAGGACTCAGTGCAACCGATATCATGTTCAAACGGACAGCAGAGGCAGGAGGGAAGAAATTTTGCCCGTGTAAATTACCATTTCTTCGTCTTCAGCCAGCACCATGTCGTATTCACTTAAAGCTACGCAAAAAATGATCGCTGTTACGCCCTCGAAACAGTGGATCCATTTCTTTCGTTCGGAACGTTGACCGCCAACATCAAACATTCTAGAAATTCATCAGATTTTACAATATTTAAAAAAACCAGTTAGCGTTAAACCGTTAAGGGGCACTTTCTTAGCACGCTATTTAGCAGGAGACCAAAATAAAGATGAAGAGCAAAAATTTCGAGGATAGGCTAGCAATCTCAAGTCTTGGAAATCAGTTAGAAGAGCTTACATAATTTAGAAAGGATTTGAACCACGGGACAGTGCTCTGCGTGCTGCAGCTCTTACAACCCAAAACCCATATGCATAACGAGTTCGTAAAGCCGAAAATATGGTAAAACAGGAACATTTTTACTGAAGCTAATGCCAAGGAAAAACCAGCCAAAGGCAGCAAACGTGCAAGCTTAAAGTTTTTTCTCAAAATTTAGTTTAGGTGATTATCTCATAGAGTCACTGATCAGGTAGAACATGGTGCTAAGGCGCTTGCGAATTCCAGCATGACATGTCGCAATACCATGTTATATCTTTACTGTTCACAAGTCAACGATTTGCCATCCGGATGTACTGTGGTTACACCGAAGTACAATGAAGTGAATTCTTTGCCAGGGATAATTAGTTATTATTAAGAGACCTTTGTTTGTGCGTACGAGATTCGATATCTCTGAAGTTCAAAGTCTACCTACATCTAATCACCTCTACCAAATATTTATCCATAGAATTTCATAAGTACACTTTCGCGTACTTCATTAAACTATGACATTTCAAACTGAGTAGTTACTTGAAATGTAAGTCTTTATAAGTGAAGTGTGTTTCGACGATACCAGTTGTTTTCACCCGAGTTCGAAGCACGTCGTCCTGAGTGGGAACATATCCGGGTTGAGAAATTCGCTCTAACGCATTGAGGTAACTAAAATCAGTTTGAAATCAACCCCATGACACACGGTTAAAAACTCTGAAATAAAGTTTCTAAAATTAACGCAAATTGGAAAATAGCAGAAAAACATTCGAAAATGAAATGCGACGAAATGCAGCTTTTAGCAACATAAAAAGCAAAACATATTCGCATGAATCTGTCAGAGTAATTAAATTAGTCGGCAAACGTCTTTCGCAACTCAGGGTCGAGCCGTCACGAAAATCTGGTCGCTTTCACATTAGCCGCCCTTCCAGTGGGACAGGTAGAAACGTTTAACTCATATTAACACCACTGCACATCTCGCAAACCAAATCAAGCTCCAAAGTCCTTGTTTGTAACTGCTTTTTCATTCATTGCCACAACTAGCTGTTGGAATGGAAAGGGTAACAGGTTAAGGAGATTTTTAAAGCTTCTCCCTCCCCCACCTATTCAGTCAGTCGCGTAAGAATCACAGGATGGAGTCAGGTTCAGGTTCGCCTCGTCTTTATTCTACTTCTTCACTGCTTTCCACACGACTTTATCCAAAAGAGTCAGCATTACGAAATCCCCTCAGCATTCTGAAAGCCCACCTGACTTATTTTGGCCAATCAGGGAAAACAGTACTCTGATGAGATTATGACAGTCCTCATGCAAGGAGAAAAGAGTACGACAAATTACCGGGTTCTTAAGTCTCTTGACATTCATTACATCAACAGCTAGTCGATGATACCTCATTTCAGCTAGTCGTATACGAGACCGCGCTCCCTCTATCAAAATCTAGCATTCAGACTATAGCTGAGAGTAGAGGCATAGATAGCCAGCTTTGCATTAATGTTCAGCCATTTCTTTATCACCACAGAACTCTTTAGCCTTCATGTTACTCCACGCATATATTTGACTCTGCTCTGACAAGTTAGATCCAGCGAATTTAACCTAATGTCACACATTGCTTAAAAGAAGGGATGAGTTTTTCTACCCTACATTACGCCATATTTCACATTTCCCTGTAATGGCGGTGACTTCAGCAGAATTAGGTTAAGTCTATAGGGTGAAGTAATGAAGAGCAGTATTTGGCAAAGGCATCATCTAAGTCAAGCAGTTGAACCAAGTGAACCTTTGTTCGGCTGCCCTCCGTACTACTCGTCATTTCTACTGAACAACGATCATTCTATTAGTCCGGACAACGGAGCAATGCTGCCGCCAGCTATTGACAACTAGTAAACTATGGAGGTTACTTTCTGATCACAACGGTTATCCAAGAAACAGCGGCAAACGTTGAAAAAACACATGGGCATATTATCAGCATCCAGTATATCAAATCAAGACAACAGCACACAGTCTGTCATTTGATCAGCTATCTGATTTTATTGCTATAGTCATGTGCTGCTTTGTTCTTCAATCTCAAATATGAGCAGAGCTAGTCAGTGTGTTTGTTAAGATCATCACAGAGCCATTTTCATATGCAGAACATCCCCGAGTTGCAGTCATCACTGTCTGCAGTCTTTCAATACGTTGGCTATAAGGAACCGGCTACTGCATCATAGAAGAGGTTTCTCTCCAAGAGCACATGTCACTTAACATTATTCCTTCATGTACCATGTTGGCTTCCTGGTCGATATCTGCCGTATTTTTGGCTTTCGCGCGAGAAGTTCATGGATTTGGTGTAAATGGCTTATGCTCAACCAGTTTGCTTAACAGGGCAGAACGCTTTTTGTTAGACACCTGTTTAACTGTGATTGGCTGGTGTCATCCATGGAGATAATCGAGTCGGCATTTCTAACATGGATAACCTACCGGTGTTTCACATGACTGTCCTTCTAGCAGATTAGCTTCAGAGGGTCAATTCCTCATATCTCATTACTTTACGCACCCCTTTCACACGTGTGCTGAACACCGAAGTTGAGAGGTAACTGAGTCCTCTATGACGATATCACCTACCCACTCCATCGTCTATGACGATATCATCTACCCACTACCTACGTCCCCGAGATCCCTAAGTGGATGTCATGAACTGCATCTTATATCCTAGAACGAAGCATCCGTTTCTGCCTGGGTAAGCGCAGTTCAGAAAAAACGTTAAGGACAGTGCTGCATAGCAAAGGCGAAAGCACGCATCCCTGGCGAATTCCAAGTTAATAGGAAAACCAAAAAAATGAAAGGCTGCCCACCGTTGGAATGTCGACCTTCCTTCACGTTCATGATTGGGCCATTCCCTTCATGAATCTGATGGGGCAGTGTTCATCTCCATTTCTATGCAAGCAATCAATCAGGAGCGATTTATTTTAAAGGCTGACTGTAGAGATATTTAGCAAACCTAAGTTGTAGTCTCTTGTTTCCATCTCAAAGAGTTGTACTCACTTACCAACCTCGGAAGGAAGAGGGGCAAGTAACATTGGCCAGAAATTGAACTTGGGACATATCGGTTATGAGTCTGATGCCCTGTCGATTGAACAACTCCGGTCTAAAGCAACATGTGGTAAATTATATGTTCCCTGGAATTCGTGAAAAAGACAGAGAGAGCCTGAGAGCGGAATCGAACCCGGCACCTTCGAGGTTCCAAGCTGACCTATCATACAACCGCGAATGCACGCAACAAGTTAATACAAAACCGTTAATTAAGCTCTCCTTCAACCTCGAAACTGGATACAGTTCCATCACACATCTTCATCTTTCATGACCGCTTCTCCTTTCGGGTCGCGGAGGCAGACATGTCAGACAGTTCTTCCAACATTCCTGATACTGTGCCAGAGTCTTAGCTTCGGAAGAAGATAACTGCAGTCTAGAAGAGAATCCATCCGTATGTTTCTACCAGGCTAATTTTGGATGCGCCCTGGGAATTCTGCCGGTCAGTTTGGCATGAAAAAATTACTTAGCTTTCCTTTCTGGAGGCCTTCGCCACACACGCCCAAATTATAGCAGATATGACTTCTCAATCTCGAGAAGCAGAGTCTGTACACCAAGGAACTCGCTGATGTCTGTATCCCGGACCATGTCTAGGCGTGTAATGCAAGCGACTTGTCTACGAAAACCCATTTCAGCACCTTCTACCTGGGTTCCAAGCTTTTGGTTCGAAGTTCTCATGGTCCACTGACTCATGACCGTAGGTAACCATTGGCACAGAATCGAATTGAATACTTAGTTTTCAGACTCAGCTCTGCTTTGATCACAATGGATCGGGCTAGTTCACGCAGAACACCACTGACTACCCCCCCCAATTCGCCGGTCGATCTCTTCCTCCAATTTTCCATCACTAGTAAATACAGTTCCGACGTACTTGAACTTCCTTATTTGTTCCACCGCCTCTCCGTTAATCTGAAGAGAGAAACGGACAGGAGAACAAGAAAACACCAGGCTTTTCGTTTTAGCTGGATTCACACGCATGCCCGTCACATCGCACTAGGCTGCGATCCTTTCTATGGAGCACTGTAGATCAGTTTCAGAAGATGCCAATAAAACAATGTGGTCTGCAAACAGCCACATTCTATTCTTCACATCTAATACACCGATTCACAAATCGCTTTGGCTGCTCCTGACTATTCTATCCATGTACATCACAAACAGGAGAGGGGACATGACGCAGCCTTGGCGAAGACCAGTGCCAACGTTGAGACGTTTCGACTTAACGGCATTTACTCTGACGCAGCATCCACTATCAGAATACAGTGACTGAACTGTCCTCATCTATACCGTATGCTCTTTGGCATGACCACAGACTTGTGCGCCGGATCCGGTCATACGCTTTCTCTAGGTCAACAGTACACATGAACGCCGGACGGGCGTACTCCCGCGATTTCTCAACAATCTGACGCAGGAAAAAAATATGGTCAGAGGTGCTTCGAGCGGCTAGGAAACCACACTATCTTCTTCTCTTGAAGTCAGTTATTCCGCAGCACGTCTTTTCTAGCACCGTTCCGTAGACATTACATGGGAGGCTCAATAACGTAATACCCTTATAACTGTAGCACTATCTGTAGTCTCCCTTCTTCAATAGGGGTACACCAACTCCGGTTCTCCGGTCCGCCTGCATCTTTCCCGTAGTCATCGCAACTGTGAGACAGCACATGCCATGTTCGCCTGATGCCTTCAGCATTTTAGGACGGATTTCAATTCCAGCAGCTTTACAGTTTTTCAAGCTTTACACAGATTGTGCAATTTCATCTACAGAGATGGTAATCTCTGTTCCTTGCAGCTCTACACGCGAGTCTTCCTCAAAGTACTCTCTCCATCGGTGAAGAATGTTCTAATCATTGGTAAGATGGCGTCCAGCCCTGCCCTACAAAACTCTTAGACTGCTGTTCTTTTCAATTCGGAGCCGGCGAATAATCTGCCAGAATACTTTGTTTGATGGAACTTCTCCCAGGAATCAGATCTGGCTTTCAC